GAGAGAGAGAGAGTGTAATCAGTTCGTGTAACAAGAGCAAATACAATAGAGAGATATTCTTGTACACAGGCACGAAAACCCATCTGAATTATATGAAAGAGGCAGTGCAAGGCCAAGCTCATGGTCAAATAGCAGCCGACCTAGTGAGATAAGTCTGTTGAAAAGCAATGAGGCCACCCATGGTTCTGCCTCAACCAAGAGATCTACTCTTGTGAACTCTGCACCAAGGAGATTGAGGATCCTTTGCCAAATATAACCGTCTTCCAAGCCACGGAACAAGAAAGCAAGGTTTCTCTCCCCCTCTTTCTCTGTATTTTTTTTTCTTTTCTTGATGGTTGTTGGGTTTGTGCATGGAGATAATATGAAGAGGAATAGGAAGAAAATAAGAAGAGAGATAATATGATGAGGAGGAACAGGAAGAAAATAGAAAATGAGTTAGATATAAGTTACAAAGACATTTGATGGTCAACAATAAATCCCGTGGTAGTAGGGGTGTAGTTGCCAAATGTGAGAATCGTAATTGTTCTTCATGGGAGTACATTCATTCATTGATTAAAACCTTATTTAGGAGTAGTTTTAGAACTTAAATGTTTTTTTAATAGGGTAGTTTTAGAACTTAAATGTTTTTTAATATGTACCCTCCTTAACCTAGTCACCAATCATATCAATAATTATTTCATTTACATTTGCCTAAAAACAATAACAACCTAAGATCGAAGGATAGAGATTTCAATTTCACATAGGTAGATCTACGAACTCATAATCTTACTTATTGAGCGCATTTGGTTGTTCATAGCTGACCCCAAGTAGTTGGGATAAAGCTTGGATGACGATAATGACTCGCATCTTGTTGTTATCAATTCGGTCCCAAAATTTCAAGCCAATTAATACTCTCAAGTAGCTCTTTTACTGACGGTAACAAGTAGGGAAAATTGTTAAAAACCCCTAAAATATACTTTCTAGGCTCTCTACCTCTACCCTAAACTTTCCTCATTTATTTTTCTCAAAAGCCATATTTTCTAACTAATACCCCCAACCTAAAAAAATATAGAAATAAAGACAAAATTACCCCTTTTTTTAACTTCTACGTTGGAAAGGGCGTTTGCGTAGGTAGTCGGGCATTTGTGTAGGCAGTCCGGCATTTGCGTAGACAGTCCAGCATTTTGTGACTGTCGATCCGGCCTTTGCGTATGCAGTCTGGCATTTTGTGGGTGCGGTCCGATGTTTTGCGTACTGTAATAAAATCACCCCGGCGTTTTGACGCAGTTGTCCAGCAGTGTATGTGCGCGGTCCGGCGATATGTTTACTATAATGTGGGCAGTCCGGCGATATGTTTACTGTAATGTGGGCAGTCCGGCGATTTGAAGTGGTGCTCCGGCAATTTACTTACTGAAATGGGGTCAGTCCGGCGTTTGCAATGTGCGGTTCGGCATGTGTTTTTTGAATGATGTTAAGTCCGGCATTTTACAGCTTCACTCCAGCGTTATGGTCGAACTATCCGGCACTGGGAGGATGCAGTCTGGCAATATCTTACTCATGGTCTGGTGTTACAGAACTTTGCTCCGGTGATTTCACTACTGGAGATGTAAGTCCGGCACTTCACAGACTCGGTTAGGTATTTTAGATACATGAGTAGGGTGGTCCGGTGTTAGCAGTCTGTGGCTTGGTGTATCACTGTCTAAATAAGCAGTCCGGTATTGTGGATATGCAATCCGGCATATGTCGTAAGTCCAGCAAATAACAACTGCGGTCCGACGAAAGTATTATTGGGGTCCTTTCAAATGATTTGTCCGTACGATGAAGGTATGAGAAGGGGTATTTTCGTTAAAAAAATATCACTTTTTGAGTTGGGAGGGTATTAGTTAGAAAATATGGTTCTTGAGAAAAAGAAGTGAGAAAAATTTAGGGTGAGGTAGTGTCTAGAAAGTATATTTTAGGGGGTTTTCAGTAATTTTCCCTAAGCTATACACTCTAGTTATCATTGGGTGGTATGAGGTGAGTGGTGCCAACTTTGTATAGCATCGGTACGAGGAACGGACCCAAGGCTTGGGATAATGGAGTGCTACAATATGACATATTGAGTTTCATTCCTACCCAGTAAAAATAAAAAAAATCCTACCCAGTTAGAATTAAAAAGAACAAAAGAAATAAGAACACTTCGACACAATGTACAAACATAGAGAAGCCAAAACCCCACAAATGAGAGGATACGGGAAGTTTGGTTTATGTCAAGGGAAATGTTTCTATGCTCCCCTATTGTATTAATGATATATCGCCCTTACCATCCAGCCTTGCAATTTTGATTAAGTGAGCCACTAAATGTTTGATCTAGATTCGATACTTCAAAATGTTTTAATTTTAATTTTTCTTACAAATTATATGAATATGAAATTTGGTACGTGCCATCATCTTAATGGGGTGCACCTAAAAATACTATTAAAAAATATTTTTGATAAAATAAAGTAACTAAAATGTCCATAAAACTTTTAAGAGTATTTTGGTTATGTTATTTTGGTGTTGAAAATATCTTTTTAAAAAAATTAAAAATAAATTAGTGTAGAAGCATGACCTGATTGGGGCCATCTTATCCATCCATTCAAAATGGATGGTTGGATAGGGAGAAATATATAAATTTTGTATATTAGGGGAAGTGCAGAAAACCTGCTCTCGTGACAAACCCTGAAGAAAGATAGGGAATTTGAAAATCCCATAAATAAAGGTGGGCTAAGATTTCAGGTTTTTCTCCTAGTTTTGATTGAGTTTTCTCCCTAAACTAGAAATTTGGGTTTTAGATCGAACGCCAAGCTTCACTAAAGTATGAAATCAGGAAAAGCACAAAGAAAAACAATGTTGCTGATTTCCATTAATGGCTGTCACTTTCTTACAAATGATAAATACGCCCAAATTGAGAAAAAGGACCAAATCACCCAACACTTTTTGAAAGATAACCAAACTACCCCCCAAATTTGAAGTAAAGTCCCCTAGTTCTTCATGCAGTGATGCAGGCTGAATGCTGCAAGCTACCCACCAAAGGAATAATTTATTCTAAACCCAATATCAACTGCCCCCAACCACCAAAAGAAAGAAAAAGAATTATCAAGCTGTTGTAACATTGAAATATACAGTGTAGAACTCATCCCTCAAGCTCAATAGAGGCATAAACAAGAAATTTCTCTTGGGTCCCTTGGCCATAAAGCTTATGCCATGATACTGGCTCAACCCCTTTTGAGTTCCAAAGCTCACCTTAGTTTCGAAATCACCACCGGAATTAGTTGGTTTACACTTTAACTGGACTGATTTTTCTGCGTGAATGTAACAACCTCTATGGCTCTCTGACTCGAAAGAAACACTGCCTTTGTTCCCATCCAACCCAGCAACCACCCTGAAATTCGACCTGTTTTCTGAATCTGAGTCATCTGACAAGAAAAGCCCGGTGTCCGGGCCATGGTGCATCACAGGCATCCCTGGAAAATCAAATGGCTCCAACACCACGATCTTTCCAATGATGTTTGTATCATTGGCTTCTCCATTGCTCTTTGGGACCCATCTAAAGGTGGAACTTGCTGCCTCATCAGTTCCCGGCAATGGTAGATTCTCCATTGTTACAGTGTTATTTGACTTCGACAAAACGAGACGTGAACCTTGAGTTTGAGTGAGAGTTATTAAGTAAGAGTTATAAGTGGGTGGAATTGGTGTTATTGAGTGAAATAGAGATTCTTTGGCACCCAAGTTTAGGTCCCACTCTCCGTGGCTTAGCCCTGCGAGAAGGTAAGGGCCGAAGAGAATTGCTTTAATGGAAGCATACTCAGGGCGATCATCTGTGGAATTAGAAGTTCATAGTTAGAGAAGTCATCTGTGGAATTAGAATATCCATAGCTAGAGAATTTTCTTTATTTTCTCTTATGGGTTCAAGGAAAAATCATCAAATTCGAGGAATTAGAAGTAATGGTTAAGAAATCAGAAAATAATTTCGGTTTTGGAGATTCTTTCTCGTTCAGTTTCATGCATACTAAGGAAAATCATCCAATCTGTAGAATAGAAGAAATTAGGCAATTTTTTCCCCCTTAATTTGGCTAAAGGGGTTATTGGAAATTCAGAAAATGGCTGATTTCGTGATTAGAAACTAATTTCTTGTAGTTTCATGGGTTCCAAGGGAAATCATCAACTCTGTGAAATTAAAAGCGATAATTAGACTTTTTTCTTTTTTTTTGGCTTGGTAGGTTCAAACGAAATTCAAAAAACAAAAGTAGGTTGACCATAAATATGCAACCGAGGTGATACCTTGTATGGCATCGGTCCTTAACTCGAGAGGGAGTTCCAACAATATCTCATCTTCTGAGGTCCATTTTCTAGTGACTGTTAGGAAATTGCCTGCTCATAGAAATAAAACATAATTGGAAGTCCATAACCCAGACTTCAAACAACAATATATTATAAGAGACACTTGTTATTGTTGGATCATAGATTAAAGTAAGCAGAAGCATGTGAAGAGAATGTATAATGTGATAGCTGATATCTACTCCATATAGGAGAGTAGGGATCCCAGAGAACTGTGGGCACGTTTATAACATGCTCCAATGGAGTGGGGCCACAACCACCATGTATCACCACTGATATATGTTGGAAGGATTGGGCCACAGTGAAATTCCCGAAGTGCAGTTGATCCCAACCATCCATCAGTGGGAATAGATCATGGATGTAGCATTGTTGGCTTGGAATTCAATAGACCAAAGTCCATTGTGCGATGTACAGTTCACCTAAATAAAAAAGGGAACCGTTCATTTAGTGTAGCTCTTATTTAAAACAGGACACACCAAAACTGATCTAAGATCCTAAATTGGTGTCAGTATATTACAGACAAATGTACTATCACTCTATGACTACCCTGAGATGTTACTGTTTTTATTCTCATGGTTAGTTTTGAAAATTCTTCTCCAATCTAGATTTCTCTAGTTACAGTCAACTTAATCTGCATCAAGTAAGAAAATGGGGAAATCAACAGTGACATTAACTCACTAAAGGAGATGGACAGATTAGAATAGCCAACATAGACCAGTACCTGGTGATGGAACAACCAACTTTTGAGCATTTAGAGTAGCTGATGCCTTATTTGCATCTGACCAGTTTGGTATTCGTATATTTATTGTTGATTCTTGGCTATTCCCCTGCACATAGTTGATATAAATTAAAGAATATAATACTGTTGGTTCGACCCATTTCTCAGTTGCTTTCCTAATAAGAAGCAACTATGTTAGAAGCTAAGAATTTAAAGAATGCAGAGAATAACACAATGGACTACAGAAAACCGTTTGGGGTCGTCACCTCCAAAAGAAATGAACAGTGATGGAAAGCGTGGGGCTTACTGGAATGGCACATAACGTAATCGATGGGTTCCACTCTATCACCAGCACCTTCCATGACATTGAATGGGGATGACGCCAATGGACCATAGTTTTCCATGGTCCATTAGATTATAATTCTCTTGCACTCTAAACATCATGCTAATCAAAAAACATAAAAAATCGGCCTTTGCAGTTCATCTCAGAAATAGGAAATCTGGGTAGGAATCAAACTTTAACAATACCTCTTTTGTTGAGAATTTCACTGACACGTGATGATACAGGTCTGAAGAAACAACAGGGTGAACTTTCTGAGTTAATGTAAGCCCTCCTGAACTCCAGTTAAAAGAACTTGATATAAACTGAGCTATGTATAACTTGGGGGTGGCACCATCTTCCTCAAAGTATATTGAGTCTCCTAACTTTGAAAATGACTCTATACCTATAAAAGAGCAAATTCACAATTGAAACGTGTCTTAGACTCTTACCAATGAACAAGATGAAGCAATAAGCGTCACAAATCAAGAAAATCATCAAGCAAAATTCGTTTAGAGAACCAGAAACTAAAACAAACTCTTAACCTGACGCACTTCTAAAGGGAAAGTATGCTATAATCCAATGGACTAAGGAAAACCATAGTAAATTGAATTATAAAATACTTAGTTATTATAAGATAATATACTCAATTGAGGAAAAATGAACCAAAGGAGGATATAATTCAACCTGTTCCATAACAACACCAAAATGAAGTGAATGGAGTTCCCCATTGATGATAAGTTTTGGCCTTGGACACCCCGCGGCCTAGAGGTAGCATGTAAATCATGATCCCAGGTTGTCTCCCTCTTTGGATACTCAAAACACCGTTTGTCAAAGCACGCTCGTAGTAATCGGCGTATGCAATTTCCTTGGTCCATCGGAACAAGTGACGTGAAACCTATAATCATGGCAACAGGTAGGGCAAATTATATGATAGATTTTGATATTTCATAACTAGCTATATGAAATTGTAAACCATATCGATCCAATTGTAAATTAAATAAGCATATCCTAGAAGTAAACAACATTTTTTAAATGAATTAATTATAAAGAAGAGTTCAGTTGTTGAACAGAACTACCAATAGAAGAAACAATTATGGGCTTATATATATATATATAAAGAAAGGGCTAAGATTAGTTCCAAACTCTGTTTTAGGCACCGTTAGGTGCACTACTAGTTTCCTGCACCACTTTCAAAGAAAAATTTACATCAACAAATCAGCCATCATCGAAATCAGAGTCGAAAACCTTCGCTAGCCTATCGAATTCGTCAATGGCGGAACCAGTCTGGATAAGTGAACCAGATTGGAACCGGCAAGTTATCCAATGAAAATTTCTATGGAAACCAAATATAAAAAATAAGTAGGTGGGAACCAGGTGAGTTCTGGGGGCCTCTAAACCTGGACCAGTCACCCAGCCATTGAAGTTGGCTCAGCAGTTCTAAAACATTGACCACAATCATTCATTACAAATTTAGCAAGGTTGTAAAGCATATTGAGGCCTTGGTGGAGCAAAAATGATGCATATTTAAGTGGGGAAAAGTATACAAAGAGACCATTTACTTTTTGTACAATGAGGTCACAATCATTCTTGTCCCTTGGATTTTAAATTGGGTGGTTGTAAGGGTGTCATTGCAAAGACTCAAAGTTCAAAAAATAAATAAAATTCGGACTTTGTGACCAGCTCAAGCCATTCAATTGGACATCTAATGAGTAGGAGTAATTGTGACGTCCTTATAATAAAGATAAATGGTCTCATTGTATACAAACCTATTTAAGTCTCAGTATTGAGATCATGTATTTATGTACATGCATTTTCATGCACAATGCAAACATATGGGCATATCTTTCTATGTTTGACACAAACTTTTAGGATATTCTGCATTTTCCAAATTGGAAAAAATTATTCTTTCTGAAATTCTTGGAGAAATGTGAAGTTTTCAGTGAATATGGTCCTAACGCTACATTTAATTAACATTCTAAATTGTTGAAAACTTCTAAAAATGGTTAGCATAGTGCATTTCAGATGTCATGATTATTATAAGAGTGTCTTAAAATTTGAAGCATTCCTATTCAAGAAATCATCAGAAATATTATTAGAAGAAACATTTCTTGGGCTTTCAAACTATAGAAAAGAATTGCAGACCTTGAGCATGTTGTAAGTTGTACATGATTCTTCATTCTCTGTCTCGAGAGTTGTAGCAAGGCGTTTTGGGTCAGACCTGGAAACATATAATCATGCCTAGGAGATTAACGAACAATGCATGGCATAAAAAGGCATTCGATATAAAATCAAACTGAAAATAGATCAAATCCTAACTTTTTGTTTCTAAATGGTATCTGTTAAAGCATCAAATGTTCATCACCAAGGAAACATGCAACACTTAATAATTGTAATACCATAAGTAGAATAGTTATAGCTAGAATGGGTGTCTCTCCCTCCCTCCTTGTTTTTATCAGTTACAATTTAGTGAGAGAATGCAGGAGGGTGAGATGGACTTGAAGTGAGCACTAGCAGCACGCGCGCGATCGCACACAGGATCACCTCAGTCTCTTTTAATTTATATGATGTAGTGTTTCAATTTTTTAGATATCATTAAAAAAAAGAAGGAAATGAAATGCCCAGTGTCCTTAGTTCCTTACCAGAACTCGCTGACAGATGTACCACCAGTAGCATAGGTGTGAGATGAATTGACAACATCCAAAAAATATGTTCCTATCGCCTATTATACCAAAAGCGATAATTAGCTCATACTCACCAAACTTTCTGATGAATTTTCTGAAGCTATTGCATTTGAAAGCATATTTTCCAAATGCATTTGAACATTTAAACTGGCATTCCAAGACCAAGAGAATAGACTGAAATTCTAGCATGGAATGAATTGGCTTTATAAGTGTTCATTCGAACCACTTTCCTTCTTGATAAAATGTAGGAATTAGGAAAGCATCAGATAAATTAAGGAAGATCTCATATCTCATGAATGAGACACATATCTTCATCCATGTAGGACCGTCAGAAGGGTCTAGAGCACATCTTATACATATGATCGTAAAAACTTTACAGTATTACTATGACAATATGAGAAATAATAAGGAAATAGAAAGAAAGCACCTAATTCAATTGGATATGCACATTATAAATTTGACAAACGCAACATTTACAAAGATCCCTGACAGAAAAATTTCTTAAAATAGAAAACCATCAATAAAAAAATAGCTTAGTAATCTCCATGGAGATATCATGAAGTAGTTGATTCATGCTAACGTGAACATAGACCGGATTCTACTTAATTTGGGCCTTTAAAATGGGTCACTGTGTCTGTGGAAGTGCTTTGAAGTGCTAAAATCAGTCGTTCATAGATAAATACCTAAAATATTAATTTTTCTAAGTTTCTTCCAGGGGAGGAGACAAATATTTCCCACGCAATTCGGGTAGATCATTTTAAGGCCACATATCCTGTTCACATTTTAATAGAACGTAAAATGTAGATATCCATAGATCCTCTACATGTATAAGTTCATCCATCAACTCAGAGCATAAATACATTGCATACATCACCTTGAATTATAAAATATCTTTATCCACATTCATGTGGACCTCCTCCGTGGTTTTTATTGCTAATTCTACATGTGTGCAGTTCATGGGGTAAATTATGACATAGAGGGATACATCATTTCAATCTACACTTTATGCAACATCACAAACACACAGAACCTGCAACGCTTCTCAATGAACAAAATGAGAAAACCAAAGGGGGAGTCCAGGTTGGTTTGTTTTCAGGAACGTACTTCAAGGTTCAAACCCTTGCCTCCTGCTACAAACCATCTGTGCACCACTAGGTCAAAGCCTAAGGGACTCAATGACTAGAAAGAGGCCTTCGGCTAAAATATAGATATAAGAAGATTGAAGAAAATGATAAGCTATCCTCGACGGTAAAATGGGAAGGATACAATGCTTGAAATGGCCTTCAAGAAATTGTGATATATATAAACATAAGCATTGAGGGTTTGATAGTGATACACAGATCAATGTCTCTCCTCTAGCCTTAGAAACGTATTTAAAACGATCAATTGCTAATAATTTACAAAAGAAAAACAATCCCAACAACATACAGATTCAACCTGTTTGCCTTACAAAACGCGTCACATAAACTTATTATCATGTCACAGACTACTCACCCTGGCAAGTGGATCACCAGTAACCTCATAACGCATTTGAGTTCCAACAATAAGTGGAATGTGTGTATTCGTATGGAAACCAGAAAGGCTATCATCCTGCACGAAATGAGAGAAGGACCAGCATGTGCGGATATATATTAGCTATTTATTGATTACGAAAAAAGAAGCAAATCTCTCCATTCTACTCTTGGTCAAGTGCACATATGCATGCAAATACACATACACAGACAGATATATATATACATAAATATATTAATATGTGTTTATGTGTGAAAGATATGAAACTGAAAAGAGAAATTCTCACAAATAACAGAACAGAACTTATGATAGGGAAAATATTGGACCTGCAATGCAAGCATCCCCAGAAAGCATGGCTTGTCAAAAAGATGTGCCAATACTAAATGCTTCTGATCTCCCTGCATTTGTAAGACATTCAAAGACACAACTTATTAAAGAAAAAAAGAAACCAGGTTAAAAAGTGCAAGAAGTTATCTGATTAAGGAGCACTGCAAAGGACATAGATCTACAAAGTGTGAAATAGGACAGCAAGATCAATGAGCATCCAAAAAGATTACCGAGATGCTATATAGTCGATAGAGGACATCATTCATGCCACCACTTTCCTCATTAAGTGATGTCCATTGCCTCTCAATGGTGTATGTTTCTATAACATTTTTCACACGATTGCCAAAGTACTCGGCCATCAAAAGTATCATTTGATAAGCTTGAGCATTTCCGGCAAAAGTGTATTGATCCAAAAGACCAGCCATAATCTGTCAAACATAGTCATTCATTTATCAAGTCCATCGAAGGATAAAACAAACAGGGGAACAGAGTTGCATGCAATTTTTTGTCTTGAGCTCAACTAACATGATTACACTAATATGCGTACAGGTAGGTATTTTTATCTGTAGAAACACCTTGTAAATATTGTAGTATGATAGCCATACATGTGTTATCATTTGCCAATATCAAATCACATTTATTTAAACCCAACCAACACGACATGCTCATGTATATACAAGTATATGTTCACATACTTACGTACCTACACTTGTGCATGTGTTCTACCTTGTGAATTGTATATCTATACTCGCGCATATGTTCTACCTTGTGAATTGTGTAGTATGGGGCCCAAACAGGCCTTATAGCTTCAACTCGGTCGAATTCTTCAGATGGAAAAGCTGAAAGATAGCCAGACCCTATCGCTTTCTGGCATTCGTCGAGTGCATCGACTACTGCAGTCATTTTGTCATGGAGAGTGGCATTGTGGGTACTTGCCCACATCATAGCCGAAGCACTCAAATAATGTCCTGCATCATGCCAATTGTGATCACTAAGCATCAACAACATGAAAAGAATTTCTGATCCTTGATAAGAGTAGGAGGATTTAAGCATTTTCAAATGGATAGATGATCTTATAGCAATCTATTACACAGGCTCTTTTTTTTTTCAGCATGGACATGCTGAAGGCCTATTTTGATAAGCTGATGAAATTCTTTATGATTCTGATCCTATTTGAACAATATGCATAGGCTAATGTATAAAGAAGATAATGGGAATCTGAGATAAACAGTCATCTATATGCAATGACAGAGTAATAACCAAACAATAGGACGAAAAATGTATCAATGCTCTCCGCTAAGTCTTTATCAGCTTTTAGAATTGTAATTTACCAACAGGGTATTAGTTTGTCAAAGCTCTCTCTCTCTGCATATCTACATGCCTCTTTTTGAGTGGGATCAATGGAGACACTGAATTGCCATTTTTTCTTCGCAAACTGTTTTATTTAAGAGTAACACATTAATCAGACTGAGTGCTCCTTATAAAAAAAGAAGTAAACCTCACCTCATAACTCGAAAATTACAATTCAAGTATTGGAAAACCTTTACATCGATCATGAACATCATGGTTGTAAAAAAAAAAAAAAAAGATTTCAGGATCTAAAAAAAAGCGTATATTGTAACAAATGATCTAGACCATCCATTTCGTCCTAAAAATAAGTGGTCAAAGATCAGCAAGATTGGAACCATTTTATGAGTTTCAAATTTTATTGTCCATGTTGGAAATTAATTTATTAATTTTAGAGCCATTATGGAGATTTTCATTGTTGAAAGTGTTTTTCGAGGCTTTATTTTGTTTTCATAAAGCCTAGATGTTAGAGAAATCTCATATAAGGTTGCAACTTTCAAATGTAGAATTAAGGTGCACTTCAAAAATCCATCGGAAAAGCTTATTTAATGCTAACTCTAGTTGATCATCTAGATATCAAAATGTATGAATATGAAAAAAAATGAAAAGATTGAGTCCTAAAAATAGTATATTTAGTGGTTCGAGATTTTTATATGTTTATAGATCTACTTGATTTGAACCATTTTTAGAGTTTAAATTTTTTTAATTAGAGATAAAATAAAAATTTCAGGCCATCCTAACAATGTTTTATACCAAAATAAATATTATAATGAAATTTGGAGGTACACCTTGTGCAAACCACTATTCTTGCCTAAATAAATTATCAATGGCCAAGTTGCCATTGACTCAGGGAATCCAAAAAAAACTTACGATATTGACCACAAATGAGTTTAAGAAAATAAATGGTGCAGTCGAATTACCAGGAGGACAGCGAGCCAATGCTTCGATAAATCTTGTGGTCAAAACCAATATTTGACTAGTTTTTTATCGATTTTTACTCAAACTATATCCCTAACATCTTATCACATCAATCAAGATTCTAAAAGTACCTTATCTCAAAACCTCATAAACCTCATCTATCAATACTCCAAATCAAATTATTAACGACATCATCAAATCTAATGCTCACTCAAATCAATAAAACAATGGGAAACCTCCAACTTGGGCTTTTTAGACAATGTCCCCCAGCCGATCGTTTTATCACAATCTTTACCCCAAACAAACTTTTTTAGGAAATACTCCCAAGTAAAAAAAGAGCATCATTTTTTTTTGATAAAAATGCTCTTGTTCATACGTGATGGTGATGCATCCATGTAGAATGCTCAACGACTAGAGATAATGCCGGACCATGTCCACAATATGCTTGACCGAGTGCACATTGTTACATAATAATAGCCAAATGGAATGGGGATATTGTCGGACCACTCTTTGGCAATGTCGGATTGCTTTAGGATATTACTAAACCACTCGTTTACATTGCTAGAACGCCTTTTTGTGAGTATTATGAGAAGAGAGAAAGAAGGAAATTTGGTCTTAAAACTATTACTTTTTACCTGGGGTGTTTGTTAAAAATTTGTGTTGGGGTAAAAATGGAATAAAAAATTTGATCGGAGGGACTTTTTCTACCCAGCCTGAGTTGGGCCTAAGGATAGCAATTTTCCCTAAAACAAATAACTACTCACGGGAAACAATATAAACCATCGTAACACATAAACGAAAGGAAAATTACAAAAAAAAAAAAAAAAAAACCAAAGAAGCTATGCAACTTATCCAACCTAATTTTTTTCTCACTTTTTTTTTCTGAAACAAATTTTATATTCAAATACAGCCCAAGCGAAAAAGTTCATTTTCTCGTACATACATATCATTTTGGCCATGTTAACTTTTGGACACTAAGCACATTGTTTATTCTTGGACGCCAATAGCACATTGTAAAAGCGCACCATCACATTGTCAAAGCGCAGAAGTACCGGATTGCACTAAAACAACTATCAAACCGAAACTGAATATTGTTGGACTGCCATTTACATAGTGTCGGAGCCTGAAATTTAATAACATCTACTACCGGACCACCTTTTACAACTGTCGGACCGCATTTTACACTATACGGGAGCCCTACTATCATTGAGCCTTTTTTGGTGGAATAGAGGAAAGAGAGGTGTAGGCTTTATTTTGGTGGAATAGAGGAGAGAGAGGTGTAGGTAACCAAAACGTAAAGGAGGGTAGTTTAGGCTTTTTGTTTTTTGGTAAAAGAAATTTGTATAAAAAGTGTATTTTGGAAAAAAACTCTCAATAAAAAGTTAGATTGATGATAAATTGCATTGAAAAGTGTACTTTTGTTTTTTTAAAATAATTTTCCCTAAACCAAACGCCAATTTAGCAAAAGAAAAAAAAAAAAGAAAAAAAAAAGAAAAAAAGAAAAAAAGAAAAACAATATAATAACGGAACAAATACATAAAAAATCATATTAACAGAGCAACACAAATCAATCAACTACCAAAAACATTATAACAACGAACCAAATAATAAGTAAAAAAAATAAAGAAAATGATTTGTAACAAAAAAACCAACCAAATATATAGTAAAAAACATATAGAAAATGATTTATAACAAAAAAAAAAAACCCATCCAAAAAGACTAAAAAAGAAAAGGGAAAAGAAAGGCAAAAACGCGATTGAAATCTCAGTGAAGTAGTAAAATCAAATGAGAAACTCACCTACAAAATGGCCTCTGAGCTCACAATCTGCAGCCTCCCAGCCACCATAAGCTACACCAGGATTTGGCAAACCAGCTGTTTTTCTAAAACTAAACACCAGATTATTCACATCAAGCATTAACAGATACTGCAAATTTGTCTGTTGAGCCACCCCATGAATCGAATTCGGATCCAATCGTACATTTTGCAGGGGCACTTCCTTGAGAAAATCACCCTGTTCGCCCCCATTGGAGTGCTTCATTTGCCGGTACATCATCGACCAGTCGAGCTCGACGCCAGTACCCATGTTGCCCAATTGGTCCTTCTCTCTCAAGAGTTGAGGAGGGAGGAGAGAGGACCATTGTGCATCATCAGTGTGGGTGAGATGATAGTGAGAGAAAATCTCTTCAATGAAAGTGTCATTTGAAGAGGAGAGAAGGTTGTAACGAACTGTGTGGGAGGAGAGCTGTGTCGGTATGTTTGTGCATTCTTTGCTGAAAACTTGGGCTAAAAACAGTAAGAACACAGGGAAGAACCCGAGAATTCTAGAGAGAGAGTGGAGTGAGAAATCCATTAATTTCATTCCTTGAAAATGGCCTGATTCAAAAGGACCGATGGGTCGATTTATAGAGGAGAGAGAGAACAGAATTTTGCTAAAAAGAATAAAAGATAGCAAGTTTTTAGCGAGAGAGAGATCAACGTCTGAATCAAGAATTCATGTGATCTAAACAAGACGTATGCAAAGGAGAGCAATAATTGAGAGCGTATAAGCAAGCCCGTGAAGCAATTTAATTAAAGTTTTTCTTTCTTTTGCAGGAGTAATTTTCAGAGTAAGGCAGAAAGCTCACGGATTAATGGTTCATTTTCATGTCGTTTTCTTCAATTTGACTCAAGGCTCTTTATCAACCAGTCCCTTTTTCAAAATATTTTTTTTGAGATAGAAAGTTTTTTAGAGAGAGAAAGTAGAGAGAAGATGTGGTTGCCTTGTTTTGTGTTACTTGACAGTCGGCTCACGTAGGCACAACTTGTTCTTATAGAGAGAAAATTAACTATACAACTTTGTTCCTATTTTAGAGATAGAAACTAACAGAGAGGGTCATACTGGATGAGAGACAAAAGCAGCTATGGAGGAAGTGCCCGAAGATAACTCTTCTGCAACAACTTTAACGGCTTGCCTTATTTTCTCTCTTCATATTCTTTTCATGATTCTTCTAAGTCTCTCTCTACAAATGATTAGACACAGGAATTATCTGGCCAAGCGCCAAAGGATTTTAGCGTGAGAAAGTGAGCCAAAAGGAATTTAAAGAGAGAAAGTGATCCAAACCCAATAATACCAAGAAAAACAAATGCTGAAACGCAAATGAGAAGCAGTAAATTAAGAGAGAGAGAGAGTTTTTTTACGATTGAAGTATCCAAATGCAAAAAAAAAAAAAGGTGCTACAATGCAAAATGCAAAGTAAAAGTTAAGAGAAGTAAAATTTAAGAGAGATAAAATCTTAGGAAAGCGAATCTTAAAGGAAAAACTAAGGCAAACCCAAAACCAAAGACAGAGAAAGTGTTCCCAAAACCCAAAGCAACAACAACATAGGCCCACACTGAAACAAATAAAAAATCTAAGAAACTCACTTCTTTATTATGAAGAAGAGTGCCTTCTATAATGGGAAAAAGTTTATATCAGTGGCTGAAAAATTGATCAGAAGGATTACTTATGGTGTTCGGAATTTGGGATTTGGAGATGCTAAGGTAGGGAGTTATCATATTATTGTTGAGAATTTTCAGACTTACATTATAGTAGCAAAGAATCAAGTTACCCATAGTAGTAGCAACGTCATTCCTACATGTACAATAGTTTAAGCTAAGTACTTATGAGCCTTCTTTTAAGAATCTAGGTAGAGCGGGTTGTAGAGCGGGTTGTAGGGGTATTATTAGAGGGGATGACGGCTCTTTTATAGATGTATTTTCTGTTCCACTTGGTAATGCTTTCAATAATTATGTAGAATTTCATAGTTTAGGAGAGGACATCAATTTAGCTATTTAAATGGAACGTTTTTCTTTATAAATTGAAAGTGACTCATCCTTACTTATTGGGGTTATACAAGATAAATATAAATACCATGACGCTAATATAGTGGCTGATGTTTTTGCCAAGTAGGCTACAATTTTTATGGAAGCCACCATTTGGTGCTCCAGACCTCACAATTTCCTTCATCTTCCTTTACTTCATGATGTGGCGCAATTACCCTAATACAGGGTTGTAACATAGTATGATGTAATTTTTTCTATCTTGGATTATTGATAACTGGGTAGGGGGCTTCTCCCCCACTGATTTACCCAAAAAAAAATAAAAAGTGGTTAATGTAGAAGGTATA